CACCACCCAGAGAATAATTGCGTGGGGGGGGGGGATATGCCATAAGAGGAAGAAGATGAGGAAATGCAAGGTCAGATGGCCAGTCCAGTCAGGTACCAGCCCTTTGCTCCCCCCAGGAATGCCACGCGCCTTACAGCATCACCTCGTTAACCACATATTCTCCACCCCCGCCCAAGTCCGCGAGGACAGTATTATTAGAGATGAGGAAACCGAGGGTCAGAGGTGACCTGAGCTGCCCAAGTCAATGGCTGGCAATGGGGGCCTGCAGCTCCATTCTTCCACTGTCTGGCTCCTCCGCGGCTAAGGTGCCTGCAGTGGGCAGCCAGACCTCGTGCACCCCCGCCCCTGCCCTTAGCCCCCAAAAGAAAACAGTGGGATGGAACGCGCCTTGGTGGGGCAGGCGCCTTGGCATCAGAAACCCACACTCCGGGCGCCTTCCTGCCGCCGGCGCTCAGGGCCAGACCGGGACCTGATGGCGAACTCCAAGGCGCCCTCCCGAGTCTTCGCGCGCTTCTTCCCGTGGCTGCAGTGCTAGCGGCAGAGGCTGGGGCGCCAAGGACGTAGGCATCCACGGGATGTATCCTCCGCACACAAATCCCTATGCATACATCCGCGCACTACCCCTCCTCGGGCCAGTTAAGATTTGGGGGGTTACCTATACTCAGAGCATCGTGACGGCGTTGTTCCAGGAGAGAAGCCTAAGGCGTCTGCAGCTCTCTCCAAGATCACCCCATTCACGCACGCAGGGCTCGTGAATTTGCACCGACTCGAGAACACCTTTACATTTAAAGTTCAAGCTTGTAAGTCGCACATGCCAGGCACGCTTTCGCGGCGCTGCGCGGCGGTGGGCACTTCACCCACAGCCCTGGTGCAAGTCCCGGCCGAACGCGCCCTGGGGTAGCCACAACCCAAGTGCCCGCTGTCTCCGCGCAGTAGCGGCGAGAGATCTCGGACGTCGGTGCTGAGGTAACTTCGCGTGATCTTGCCCTTCCGGGCTTGCCTGGGGCCAGGCTCTCCCCGCGTCCTCAGGCCCTAGATTAGGCCCAGAGACAGAGGCCAGGTTCTCCCGGGCCCCCGGGCCTGTTTTCCTGCACAGTCCCTTCCGACTGCCTCCCACCCAGCCAGGCGGGGACATGGGCGCGCTGGGAGATCTCGCTGACACGAAGGCGCCGCCGGCGAAATGAACGGGACTCGGGACCAGCGGCGCCAAAAGCCACGCACAACCAGGGCGCACGGGAGCCTCTGGTGGGCCAAGGGGCCAAGCGAGTGGGCGCTGGGCCTGGAAGCTCGCTGCAGGAGTTGGGGAGCGCGCGGGCTGGCCGGCGTTGGGTTTCTCCTAATCAGCCCCACTTCCCGGAGCCTCCGTCCTAATTGGGGAGTAATCGCCGACGGAGGCAAGGAGGAGGCCAGCTCTCGGCTCTCCCGACGGACGCGAGCGCAGCGTTCCCTGCTGGGAGGGCCTGGGGACTTTTTTCCTGACTTGTTTTCCTGCGCATGGCTAGGAGGCGAGGTGCGGAGGGGTTGCCACCGACCAGGGACTGTGCCTTTTCCTTGGTCTGCGAACCCGCTCCCGGAGCACAGGCCTGCCGCAGGCGAGAGCCAGGGCGCTGGGCCCGGGAGACCTGCCTGAGACTCCAAGGACGAAATCGCCGACGTTTTCCTGTCCCCTTTATCTCAGTTTTATAGACAGCTCTTCGTTTGGGACATTAATTGCCCGGGCGAGTTTATTGATAATTTTGATGTAACAGAGCGCCGGAGAAATTACCCCCACGTCCAAAATGTCAAGTTTGAGAAGAGCCAGGTTCAGGGGCTCGCGACCCCACGACGCGGAGAAACTGCGGTGGGTCTTGAACAGCCGCGCTGACAATGTGACTTTAGTTTGTTTTCCTAGATAGACGGGAGTTGGAATAGAAAGAGGGTGGTCAGATTTAAAAAAAAAAAAAAAATTTCAGAGGGGGAAAGATGATTTACAGGGATATGTTACCGGATTGGAAAAGTGCCTATCACCTTGCCTTACCAAAGGCCCTTTTTTTTGGGTCAAATTTTACTAGCTTCTGGGTTGGGGAAAACCAAGTATGGAGCACAAAAGAAACTTAAAATTGTTACATGATTTGTAACAATATGAGAGCAACAAAGTTCGAGACTCAAACACACTGGTCTATTGCTCTTGGGGTGGCAGACAAAAAAAATTTTGTTTTATTTTTTAAATATATATCTTGCTTGGTTTCCCCTTGGGGAAAGAGGAGTACGGTTTTTCTTTAAACAGTTGATTATTTCCTTAAAACGAGAAATGACATTTAGAGGGGGCAGAGGGCTCTTCTTAAAAAACAGAAGCCAAGAAAAATAGTTATTCTTGTCCAGATTTCACTTCAATGTGAAATGAAGAGTGAAAAGGGGAAGATTAGCCAAAAAAATTTTAAAAAGAAAAGGAAAAAGTATTCGGAATCACCTAGATTTTAAATTAAAAAAAAAAAAACAACAGTTCAGATATCCGAAGCCAGTTTCTTTCTACATTTTGGGGTTTGGAAGATATTCTGCAATCCCAATCCTAGTAACATACTCTTGTGGTTTTATTTCTAGTTGATACAATTTTAAAGACCATATACAAATGTTATACATTTTTATTTTTGTTCTTTTTTTAGGAAAAAATACACAAAAGGCAAAACATCCTCAAATGATCATTTTATACAGTGCAGAAGGGAATTTAAAATACGTGTCACAAACGCTGCACCCCAGCAGCCAGAATACTAAAAAAGGGGGGTAGTCCTTCATAATATATATATTTATATAAAACATATGGAAATTTGTTTATACACAAATTGGACTTTTTCAAATTTACAATGGATATCTAAAAAAAAATTCTACACGGCAAATATTGCCAACAAAGTTACACCATTAATACTGATAAACGGAGGAGCCTATGCGGTGTTTCGATTATTAGGGAAAGAAAGTAGAATAAATAACAGGATGAGCCTTGCTATAGTTTTAAAAAGTGCCTTAACCTTTCTGCGTCACTGCAATCCTGAATCCACACGGCCACCGGGCCTTCCCAGTCCCGGCATCACACTGCTTTCGCCTCATTCTCGGACCAGAAAGTTTACAGTAGAGACGGGGAAACAGCCGGGGCTAGTGAGGGAAGAGAAGAAAATATCCACGGAAAAAGTCAAAATAAAGTTCAAAGCAAAACAAGACTGCTGGAGAGAAGGAAAGAGAGGAAGGCGGAAGGGATGTCGGAGGCCCGAGAGCCACTCCTTCTATTTCCTTTCTTTTAAGACGAACAGTGGCTTCAGAAATGCAAGTTGTTCGCAAAAAGATCCACCTGTGGTTGAACGGAGGCGACAACGGAGGTGGGGAGGGAGGATGCAACCGCTGGCGACCCCCTCTCCAAAAAAGGCGGCTCTAAAGAAAGACAGGCTTGCGCATTCTGAGAAATTCTTTCAAAAAAAAAAAATCAAAAATAAAAAGATAAATACTCAACCAAAAAATAAAGGTATTTGATAATGGTTGGTCTCACATGTTTGCTTGCTTCTAAAATTCCTCCTGCAGTTTTGCCACTGGAGGGGGAAGGGGGGGAGACCTCAGCAGAATTCTCGGTTAGATTTCGAGGGGTTTCCCCCAACACAGCACCTTCTCAGCCGGTCTCGAGAGGATCATTATAGATATTTATTTACCCACAGCTGCAGTCGGACCAGACCCGCACCACCACCAGTTTTTTTCCTAATTTTTGAGCGGGTGGGAAGGAGGTGCCCACCGCAGCGTCGGGTCTTTGCGTTCAGGTTTCCTTTCCAAATAATCCGGTTGGTGAGGGGGTCAAACCCTTTTCTTCTGCCGACGGTTATACCTCGAAAATAAAGCAGTTTCTTGCGATCGGTTCCTAGGTCCCTGCGCCGGCCGGCCTGGGCCGGGAGGGCGACGTGGGCCGTGCGGCCTCACATCACGCACGGCTTGATGTCTTGGTAGGTGACCTGCTGGTGGTAGTAGGAGCCGCCGCCGGCCGAATGCATGGACGAGGACGCCATGGCGTTGAAAGAGAAGACGAACTCCTTTCGGTCACACATGCTGGGCGACTGCGAGTGATACCGCGGGATGCCTGCAGGGCGAGGCGACAGGGGTGGGGGCACAGGAGTTAGCGTTGGGACAAGAGCTCTGGGCTGGCGGCGGCGGGGAGGCAACTCTGCCGCTAGGCGCACGCCTCAGGCCTGCCCGGCTCGGAGGCACCGAGTTCCCGGCTCTAGGCCGGCCTGGTGCTCTGCGCCTCTGCTGTGCGCTGCGAAGGAAGGCTCCGCCTCGGTCTCCGCGCCCGGGATCGGGAACTTCCCGAAGCCAAGGGGAAAGGGATGAGGGTGGCCGCGCTGGGCGAGGAGACGCCAGGGAGGGCCCCGGTGGCATTACTCCCGCGCCCTCCACCTCCAGGGCAGCTGCGGCCTGTGTCCCGCGTCAGGGCAGCCACTTCTGCGCCCCAGCGGCTGGGGAGGCCCGGGCAGACCGAGAGGCCGGTGCGGGGAGCAGGGAAGGAGCCAAGGCAACCCGCAGGGGCAAAGGACAGCTTCTCCAGAGAAAGGCCTCAGGGAGAGCAGGCCCCCTAGAGATCAAGGCCCCATGGAGCGCAGGCACCGAGGCAGCCAGGAGTCTGAGGCGCTCAAGTGGAGACCCCCGTGGAGAGGTCACCCTCCCCTCCTGCCTCCCGCTGCTGCTGACAGCTGACCTCTGACAGCCTTCTGCTTCTCCATACTGTCCCCAACACTGGGCTGAGAAGGCTAATGGTGGGCGCTCAAGTGGGCTCCGGGAGGGAAATTTTTCTGTATCTTCTTTCTTAGCGGGTTTGGCGTGAGGGGCTGACAGGGCCTGGGGACCTGAAAATCTGGATTCTGATAAAGACCGTGGGGCCTGCACCTCTGGCCCTGCCCTGGGCCTAGCTGTGGCACCGCCTGCCTCTGTCACCACAAAATGCCCCCCATACTCTACTGTCTGCAGCCAGGCCTGGCTCCCTGAAAGGCCAGGAGCGCAGAGCCTCTAGGGGCCAGCTAGTCTGCCTTAGGCCTAACTCTTCCGCTCTGCCCGGGCCTTGCCACAGCCCAGGAACAGAGGCGGCTCTACCAGCAGCCTGCCAAGGACCATGGGTGAAGGTGGGCTAGCCAGCCAGGGTTGGGACCCCCGCCCATACTGGGCCCCTTCCTGAGGTTTGAAGGGACCTAAGGGGCACAAAAGAACTTACAGCAATGAAGTTTGGGCCTTCTTTGTGAGGACAGGCCTACCTGACCAGGCTTTGGACAACAAAAAGCAGGGAGTTAGGTTAGAAAAACGGACAGTGATGTCTTGGCCTAAACCGGGGAGCAAGCTGCACTCAGCCCCAAAGCAGGAGAGTGGGCTGAGAGGGTACCTGGGCGGATGATGTTGGTCCCAGGAAGGGTGGGACTAGCACCCCACACAAGTGGCCGCGCTCAGGTCAAGCCCAGGGCATCAGCGGTTTCTGAGTCCTGGCAACCCACTCACAGATGCCTGGACTAGCACAGCTCCCCTCCACTCACCTTGCAGCTCAGCCGGGGCGTTGTGGCTGTTCTGGTGCAGATACTGCTGGTCCAGGGAGTGTGTGGAGAGGCTGCCGGATAGGGGGTTGGCCGCGGGGTTGCAGGGGGACAGGGGCTGCTGCTTGATGTAGGAAGCGCCGCTGTTGAGTGCTGCAGAAGCCGAGGGAGGCCAGGCGGCCGCTGAGCCCGAGTAGACGGCGTGCGGCTCCATGACCCCGCCGGCGGCGGCGGGCAGCAGCGGAGAGGCGGGCACCGAGCCGTCGTGGTGCGGGTACTCGCCAGCCGCCGCACCGCCGCAGCTGCCCATGTACGAGTGGCCGCCGTTGGCAGGCAGATGGGGCACCGAGTGGCTGGGCAAGGCCATGCCATCCACGTTGCCCGGCAAGTGGCCGTTCATCATGCCCAGGCCGCCCTCGAGTGCCAGGCTGTTGGGCGGGCACGAGAGGCCGCCAGCTGAACCCTGGAAGCCGTAGGTGTCCGGAAGGTGGTTGAAGCCGAGCCCGTTCATCATGCTGTACATGGGCTTGAGCGCCTGGCATTTCCTTCGGAAGCCGCGCGGCCGCCGCCGAAAGGAGCCCTCCTCGAACATGAACTCGCTGGCCGGGTCGATGGTCCAGTAGTGTCCCTTGCCGGGCCGCCCGAGGCCCTTGGGCAGTTTGATGAAGCACTCGTTGAGCGAGAGGTTGTGGCGCACCGAGTTCTTCCAGCCCTGGTAGGATCCGCGGAAGAAGGGGAAGCGACTCTGCAGGAACTGGTAGATCTCGCTGAGCGTCAGGCGCTTGGTGGGTGAGCTCTGGATGGCCATGACGATGAGCGCGATGTACGAGTAGGGCGGCTTCTCCGGACGCCGGATGCCGGCGTTCGTCTTCTTGGCCTTGGAGGGGCCGGACGACGCGGGGTCCATGGCCGCGCCGCCTCCCCCGCCGCCGCCGCCAACGCCGCCGCCGTGCGGTG